TATAATGATTGATTTCCAAAGCCAACGAACCGCGCGCGAGCCGGTGGCTGAGCACTCAGCCCAGGAGTCGCGGCGTCGCGTCCGGCGGGGACCCTCGTCACGCTCATCGCCTACGACGGTGGGGTCCTCAAACTCCGCTCCAGCGGCCAAACACAGTGCAGACAAACCATGGGGACGGTTCAGTAGGTCCAGACAAGTGGCAACTCAGACGACCTTCTGATATCGCGTCCTCTGTGGTTATACAGTGCAGTTCCGAATCCACTCGTCCATACTAACCGTAAAAAGTTAATTTCATTTCACGACTTTTCTCAAAACAATGGACAGCAGTTGTTACGGAGTTTCAACTGTCTCGAGCATTGGGGAGACGTTTCTTTCAATGTCAAACCACGGCTATTCACGGGCCCCAGATGAAGGCCGATCCATCTGTCCCCAGACCGCACACATCCTCCGGTAATAATTAGTCAAAGACGGCTCGTGTTCCGCCAGGGAGTCCACGGGTCGTTAGCGGTCGTTGTTAGTTCGGTAAGCACGCCGTGGTGGTAGGTCGAGCTAATGGACGGCGACTAATGGTGTGGAGATACGCTGAGAGGTGGCCACCGCGAGTGGACAGACCTCAGTGGACTGACCAGAGTGGACAGACCTCAGTGGACAGGGTCGTAATGGACAGAACTCAGGCGTGGCAGCACTTCGGCCTCGGGATCAGTGAAGACCAAGTAGATGTCTTCCTGTATGTGACTAGAAATGGACATGCGATGTTCACAAAAAAAGACGATTTGATATAAAACGTATGGATTATGCATGTGGTGACTTTAATTTGAAGGTCAGCGATGTATCTTCAAACGATGTTACCGAAGTTGTCCCAGAATGGTTATTGAAAAGGTTCAGCCACCCATGAACTTACTTATAGTCTCAATTATCCGCCAGCACCAGCCCCACCAGTATCACCTGTTCGGAATCCCCCTCATTTACTGCACCTACAGACCGTGACCGGAGCAAGGTCATCTCTGACACCGACTGGCCGCCGTGCTCCACTGCACTTGACCCGGGCCGCGCCACTCCCGTCTCGAGTGCGCCGCGCCCGTCTCCAGCCGAGAATATGGGCCAGTCGGGCCGCGCCACAATTGGCACAGTGGCGGCGGCACGGTCCCACGATCATCTGTGGCTGTCGGCCGGCTCGGCACCGGTGCCTCATACAGCACTCGCCAGCGGCCACCGGCCTGCCGCCGGCATGGGAGCGTGCCGCGTGCCTGAGCGGGCCGGCAGACCGGCAGGCAGCGCGCCGACCCGTATTGGCACGTGCGGCTCGAGCGCAGCAGTCGGTATGTTCTCACGACGAGTCGCGCAATGAAGCGCTCGCCGCGGAACGCCGCGCTGCGCAGCGAACGTCTCGGAACGTCGGAAACGAGCGGGAGGCGGAGAATAGAGTCGTTTGGTCGGCGGAGCGGGCGGGGATGTTGGCAGATATAAATGATGTCACAGAAGTCTGCCCACCTACCGTTGTCTCGCCCAGTCTGGTGTGTCGAAACGATTACTTCAGAGTACAGGAACTCATGAGCTTTCGTGGTAAAGACGTGCTGTCAGTTAATTCTCCAAAAGCACTGGAAGACCAGCAACGAACATTACACAAGTGCCTTCAACAAAGTCAGAGTAAAAGAATGAAACACATATAAACAGACTTAACGGAAAGGCACGAGTCGTCGAAACATATTTCAAGGTTTGTATTTTCCGATGCTGTATTTGAGACGGCCTGCGTTGCATAATTTCGAGGTCCAAGAATCAGCCTCTTTAACCCATGCGGCACGAAAATCTAAAGCACTTGCCATGAAATTTAGAACAAAGGTCGAGCTGAAACTATGGAAAGCGATGAGGTTCGTGCACCAAGCTGAAACATAATATACTACAGGGGTTGTAACTATGTTACTACGCACGGTTATGCGAGCGTAACACACGAGCTCGGCAGTGCAGATCAGATCGGCTCGTCCCTGTATAGTCCCACCTTCTCACGTTTTTTACGCAACCTCACGCCAAATCTGATCCCGAATCTCCTGCCGCCGCCGCGCTGCTCTGGGGCCCGTGTACTCCTGTCGGCGGGCGTGACACCCCCGGCACGAGCCGAGCGCGTGACGGCGCGTCACGAACCGCGCCGGGCGTCACGCGGAGCCACGTTACGCCACACAGTGACGGCGGTGACACTGGTGATGAAATATGGCACCAGAATGAATCGATGTCGCTCCAATAACGAGGTCGCGCCTGGTGGCCGACAGCTGATAACGGTGGGACGGACTTTTCACAGGTTATCGTCGATTCTGGGACGGTTAGGAGTGCCATGTGTGCGCGCCATGGGAGCGGGTTTCTCCACCGGGCTCTGACCGATTCCAGATAATAGGAAATTTCAACAAATCGACCACTTTTAGTTGTTATGCTTATATTCGTTTAACCCGCGCCCTGCTGGGGGGGTGTTTGAACACCCCCCTTGTGGTTTTTCGCGAATATCTCAAAAACGGCGGCGCATCATACATCAATTCTACACATGTTGTGAAAATTTCAGACCAAGGTCATTCAAGGTCAGGTCACCAGGTCACTTGAAGTGACATCACCTCATAAAAAGTTTCAATGTCTGTCATAGCTACACCGAGTGACCGATCGCTTTGAAACTTTCAGCGATTGCTGAGAGCAATAGCATGTACAAAATGTATATCTCAGAATTTTGATATCGATGACCTAAGGTCAGGTCAATTTTGCGACCTCCCCATTATAAGTCAATGGGAGAAAATTGAAATGCGCCTCTTTTCGACGAAAGACACTATAAACACTCCCAAACACTGAATTACAAGTGGTTTAGACACACTGAACATGGAAATGGTGTCCGTGACCCCTGTTTATGCCCTGAGGTCATCTTAGGTCACGAATGGTATCTAACAGTTTTTCGCAAATAACTTTTGATAGAGGCATGCTAGAGCGATGAAAACGCCTTAGATGTGTTCAGATCGACGATACGGATCGACTGATATGCAACATGACCCTTTCCGGTCAGGTCATGACCTTGACCTGAGGTCAAATTTTGAAGTTGACCTTTCAAGGTCAAGTTATAGTTCATTCGATGCGTCTTGACGAGAGGAACACGATGCCGGTAAAAGTAAGCTCGTACAAGGCTTGGGTCAAAAGTTATTGCAGAAAAACTGTTTCCGAAAAAATCGGCTATTTTTGCAGTTTTTGCCCCCTGCAGGCAAAACCGTTGACGTTAGGTCAAATCTGAGAGAATTACTCGGAAAGGGCGTTAATAGGGCTATCGAATGCGCTTTTCCGCGGCGCTGTAGCTCTATTGGTTCCCGAGTTATGCGTTGGCTTCTTGGAAATTGTCGACATTCGACCTGGAAATCGGCGAAATTTTGCCTTCAATGACCTCTGGTGACCTGACCTTTGACCTGACCAAAAAATTGACCGAAGTGATTTCCTCATTATTTTTGACGCTCTTTCGAACGCCGCCTTCCGCGTATCGCTACGTGGCCCAGGAGCCGAGATAGAAGGGGGGGTGTTCAAACACCCCCCCAGCAGGGCGTGGAAATCCAGGACCCCCAGCTGGGCGCGGGTTAAAGGTTTCATTTAGCGTTTCTCAAGACCGTTTTCATGATTATTGAAGAGATAACCGAAATGCTTATATTTGACACCTCTCTCTCTAGGAAAACGTTTTTTATTCGGTAGTAAAAGGCAAAACACTGATGAATATTTTTTTCTATCTCTCTCTCTCTCTCTCTCTCTCTCTCTCTCTCTCTCTCTCTCTCTCTCTCTCTCTCTCTCTCTCTCTCTCTCTCTCTCTCTCCCCCCCCCCCTCTCTCTCTCTCTCTCTCTCTCTCTCTCCCAGCCTTTATTTTCTAAACGTATTTTGTAAGACGTCTTTCAAATGATCAGCAAATAGCGACAACGAAGCTTTTATTCAATCTTTGCAGCCGTTGAATTCGCTGGTCTGTTTCTCTTTTTTTTGGTACGACCAAAAAATCTTTTTGGGTTCAACCAAATAAATCATTGGGACGGACGAAGCACAGACGCCCTTACTCAAGAGACTCATTGAGCTCCCTTCCTGCTGCGCCAGGTAATTTAGCTGCCCAGCTAGCATTGCAAATGATTTCACGGACATATCACGGCCATATGACACCAACAACAATGGCAAATGGGCTGAAAAATGGCGATCAGCTTGGGTGCCTTCATGGAAAGCTGGCTCAGGTGCCGGCCCGTTAATACGTTCTTCCATAACAAAGCGACACAATGCAACAGCTCAGAAATGGCGGAAACCGATCGAATCATCGCCGCTGTCCCTTTTCCGCCTCGCATCGTTCCGCACTTATTCCGACGGTCCATCCTTCCACAGCGATTATGGCCCTGCTTTCCTGTGCGCCAATGGTAAACTCACCGGGAAAAGATGCCGCCTCCGCTCATTAACGTCGAGTGAATTCTCAACTCGCTGTCACCCGCACATCTGGAGACCAGGGGGTGGGCGTACCACTTTCATCGCATACCTGCCCGCGCTGTGAGGATTATGAGACGGTCTACAGATGTGCAGCCATCTGGGCTGGGATTGGTGGCGACAGCTGCTCTGCCTATAGCCCGGTTCGAAAACCCCGCTCACCACACGACCAGGTGACAAACGGCTCGACAGATGCACACTGGTCGGAGATGAGGCACGGCCGGCGGTGGTGAGATGTGTTTTGTGCTCAAACGCACAGCTGTGGCGGAAGTCAAACGAGGCGAGAAGACTTGGTTCCCAAGATAGTGAAGCAGATGTAACTTTTTATTCAGGCGCCTAAGAAGGAAGGGTTGGGCCTCAAATAGGCGCCACGAGTATAAACACCAGCATTTCCGATCCAAAATGTACTGCACAATTATCCAAATCACACCATTCCGATCTCTCGATCCACCTCAACTCGGCGCCTCACACCGTCATTCACAACTGCTCTGTAACAATCTCTCCCTCTCCTGACGGCAGAATGTCTCTCGTGTTCCAGGACCTGGAGCAGGAGCGGCACACTCTCCGTCTGCGGATCTCGGCCATGGAGGGAGAGCATGAGGACGAGGTGGTCCAGCTGCAGGCCGACATCGCCGCTATCAGGTGGGGCTCAATGATAATCCAGAGGGAAGAAGGAGGGCCTCGGTCAAAATAGTTATCGAAACGGAACCATTATTAGAACTAACACGATTCAGATCCAAGTGAATGCCAACGTAAAAAATATGCCCCACCAAGGAGAGGAAAGCTAGACAAAGCTAAAAACGTGTTAGATTGCGATTGAGAGACAGCCTCTGGGCTCAACAGACCACTCATATAAAAATAACCTCTCTGTATGCCTTTACCATCTCCCATCTCGACTACAACCCATCCCGTGAACACACCCAAGTCGTGGAACTCGCAAGACGTGGAGGAGACATGATAATCGAAATGTCATCCACCGCACCCCCGGGGATAATAGAGATGGTTCGGGAGAGAAGATACTACCCTCCCCAACCTCATCTGCATCACAGACCCCACCGGCTGTCTCGACCACATCTGTCGGACAGCTCATCCAATCAGGGGGCACTCGGGTTTCTCCCGGGGTGAAATCAGAGTCCATGTGGGGCTTCTGCCGGGCGGCACACCCATCGCCCGCTGGTCTGTCCGGTTACAGCCGCACGGGTCGAATAAACTGTGACAGGTCGACAGGTCGAACATTCAGCCAATTCCCTCCGCTATGCATCCGATTAAAGTGGACACTCGAATGGAAAGTATATGGTATTTATCTGGCGCAATGATATAAGTATAAGGCGGCTGGTAACGTGCCTTGGTATACATAGTTGTTATAGCGGTAGTAATGCCGGTAGGGAGACAAAGCAGCCCTTATAAACACACTTGATAAATAAATGTAAAAACTAAAAAGTCAAAGGGAGCAAGCAACTTCTCAGTGCTTGGCTACATCGCATTTTCACCGGAGACGGCGACACTGACCGTCTCGTGTTTCTGCTCGGTGACCCCGCAGGCGGCAGATTCAGGCGCAGCAGCACTCGGGGAAGGACTGCGATAAACAGCGCTCGCAGATGCTGGAGGACATGACGGAGCAGAACCAGCGGCTCGCCAGGCAGCTACGAGACGTAAGTCAACCTGTTCAGACACCATTTTCCCTCTCCCTGCTCGAAGCACCACCGAACCACGCGTCAGTTATGTTTCACCTTTTTTAGCGATAATAAATAGTAAACTTTGTGCAATGGAACTCACAAGCGGCCGAATAACATCACCAAACACCATACGCCAATGAGTGACTACGAAAAAACTATCATCTCTATCTCCGTGACTGACGTTCCATCTTCTTTCTTGTCACTTCTTGTCGCTATGATGGACTGACGAGAAACCACAGCCATCGGTAGATAAACCGCGACCCAGCGCCCCGACCTCAGCTTTCAGTTTCACCGCAAAAGACCACACCTTGGTTCATGCTTCCGCCGCGCTTCTGATTATCATCTCATCTGATTATCTCCTACGGTTTGTGATTATCGGAGGGTGACGAAGCATAAGAGTAGGTTACGCTATATACCACAACTAATCGTAAACCTCCGTCAAGATAGCCTCTTGTGCTGGCGTTCAGGTTACGCAATCTCAGACGTAATATCGCGGAAGCCCGCAGATGCTTTTACCGACAGGCGCACCAAAATGGTGGGAGATAGGCCCATGATGCTGGGAATTATCTGTGACCGTATTCACCACGGCGTCGAGAGGGCGACGATGGTATTTATAGTGAGTTTTAGAGAAGACCGCAGTCTGGCCTTAGTGATGATGGATCTTTGGAGTTGGCCTTGAGACGCGCCCTTCTGTGCATATTCAAGGTTCGCTGAACACGTTCCTTTGATCAAGGTTTGCTGCTTCGTCACCATACGGATCATTAATATCTTAAACAGTAGTTACGAGGTAGTTCATCACATTTGAACAAGGGAAGAACAGAAACGGAATATAAGAGTAGAATAAGATCAGTGCGGCCGATTATCAGACATAACAGCACATCACAATTCACATATCGATTCAGTCGGACTGCGGACGGCAACAGTTGGTATACATGGACCCAATGCAACGAAACCCATTGACTCGTTTCGGTCTATTTCCCCAAACCGCACTCCACTTACATGCCTAACCGACCGTTCCATTCGCCCGCCGTACCTCACATATTTCAATAACGTGTGTGTTTTTATCCGGCAGGCTGTGAAGGCGGAAAAAACACACCATGGAGCAGCTGGAGCACCTGAGGAAGCAGCAGGACCTCCGCAGGGACAGTTTCGAGTTCCACGTCTCACATGTGGACGAGATGAAGGAAGAGGTAGGGTTATCTGCTACAAAAGAGACGAGGGAGAGAGAGAAAGAGAGAGAGAGAGAGAGAGGAGAGAGAGAGAGAGAGAGAGAGGAGAGAGAGAGAGAGAGAGAGAGAGAGAGAGAGAGAGAGAGAGAGAGAGAGAGAGAGAGAGAGAGAGAGAGAGAGAGAGAGAGAGAGAGAGAGAGAGAGAGAGAGAGAGAGAGAGAGAGAGAGAGAGAGAGAGAGAGAGAGAGAGAGAGAGAGAGAGAGAGAGAGAGAGAGAGAGAGAGAGAGAGAGAGAGAGAGAGAGAGAGAGAGAGCTGACGTGATGGGCCACGCTTGTTAACGCGATGGCGCCTCAGCATTTTTTCTCACTGATCACGACACTTGCATTATTCAGATGGACCATCATGACAGGAGCAATGTCACTATGCCACTATGACAATGGCAACTGAGTTTGTCAGCGACTGCCGTAAAGTAAATGCAATGCAATGCAACCTATGATAAACTTTCGCCGGCTATATGCGATATGCATCTCACATGGACCGGGCTTCAGATGCTTCAGAGCTTCAGATGAGAAATGCGCATCGCTCCCGTGAAAGTGCGAGTTTTGGTCATTATAGTTCACGATATGTCGTCAGCCACATGGTCAACTGTCATGACATAGCACATCGATCTGTGTCATGACAAGGCAATAGGCCATCATTTGGAACTATAGCCGCGCAGTCAGTGAGTTCAGGGCATCAGTAACTTCGAACAAAAAACGATGACAGTAGGAAAAACGTATGTATCGGAAGTGCGATTCCCATGCTTTCTTTCAGGTCGCAGCACATTTTCTGCGCTATAGCCAGCTTCAACATTTTTGTTCCATCAGTGACTGTTTAAACTCAATACCCTCCAATTTCATACCTTCGCCGTCACACAGTGAAATGTAAATGGCGATTGAAGGCATAAGAGGGGTCTCAATCACTAGCGCACTGGCTCAGCCATTCTGGTATCGAACTGTATGAGAGGCAATTGAGAACAACAGGTGGGAAAGTAGAAACAACACAGATTGCGCGCATATGTTTCACAGGATTTCTCTTTCGCATACTCAATGACATCTACAGTATCGTCAGAACATACTTATCAATATGCCCTCAACTCCCCAATCACGTCATGATCAAGATGGTCATCTCATGAACAACCCATGCATCGGTTTATACCAGCATGCGATGCTGTCTTGTGCTGCCAGCATGTCTCGTGCTTCCGTGCGATTCCCTGCTCGAGATGCCGTCTCGCTCGGCAAGAATCTTCAGTCATGAATGTGAAAAGAAATCAAATCGCTAATCAGGAGCCTGATTGCTATTCGTGTATCAGGACTAACTTGGTGACATTCGCCAGCCCGCATCCACCGTCGATTAGGAAATTTACTAGTAAAAACGACACCTCTGCTTTTCACTGTGGCTCCCTCTGTCCTCCCTGCTGGAGTACCTAGCCTCACCGGCTCCCAGTCTAACCCTTTCATCTTCCTCACCAGCTGACCTGTACCCTACTCCCTCAGCTGGCCTCTCTGGAGCAGCAGCGGCGCGAGCTGGAGCGGCGCGAGCGCTCCCTGCTCGAGGATCGCGCACAGCTCGAGGACCGGCTGCGCGAGACGGCTGAGCGCCAGCTGCTGCTGGAGCGGCTGCAGCGCGAGCGCGGCGGTCAGGTGCGCGACCAGCGCCGCCAGCTGGAGCAGCTGGCCGCCGCCAATAACTCGCTCAGTGACCGGCTGGACGCGGCGGCCGGCCACGGGTCGCCGGCCAGCACCGGGCACACTTCGCTGCACCACGAGCTCGACTCGTCGGCGGACGAAGGCATCGGATCAGGTGGGGAGCGGGTGGGGAGGGAAGCGAGGGGGTGGAGACCGTGATGTTTGACTGTTACGACCTTGTTTAGGAACCGATTGCAAGTTGAAAGACTTTTTGTGGAGTTCTTACCTTGTCAAATTGTAGAAGAGATACAATTTTTTTCTAACTACACCGCCACCCAATTTGAATGTTTACCAAAGTGCTTTCATTAACCGAGATTTAACTCTCGTTTTCTTTCCAGTAACGAATGTCCCATCAGCCGAGGTCACGCTCATGGAGTTTGGCGACGAAGTTGAGTGCGACGACCACCTAGCGGCCAGTTTGGGAAGCTCTGACTTGCAGCAACTCCGCCGAGCGGCGCTAGTGACCACCAGCCAACTGAAGGCTCTAACCGAGCAGGCTCGTATTGGCCGGGAGAAGCGCGAGCTAGCTCAAACCACATCGGAGACCTCTCAAATCATGTCGGACACCTCACAGACCCTCACAGATGCGTCCCTGGCCGGTGGAGATTCGTCCATGGCCGGCGGAGCGGACTCTGTACTCGGAAGGATGGACTCGGCGATCGGAGGAACGGACTCCAACATGTCCGTGGTGCCTCTTTCAGAGCCTTCGTTGGACGTCACACTGATGGAGCCGACAATATCAGATACGACAAAACTGCAGGTAAACAGCTGTCCAACTTAAAAACCCGAATATTAAACGGTTTCAATCTCCCAGGCGCATTGCGACTCTTCTTCGATTTCAGAAACAACTATTTATCGAGTTCTTCATCAGTTGGCAGAAGACTGCAATCACCATCGAAGTTACAGGTGACTGTGAATTAGGGGCGTGTTCTTGTCATACTAAATGTAACTGAACCAGACCCCGGTCTCAAGCCCGTCATGCCGTTGTCATTTTGAAATACACCCGTGAGTGAACGCCACCTACCTACATGCCCAGTTAACGAGCGGTTTTGTGAGAACGGATCTCTTCTTATCAACTAGCGATTCAATTAAACAAGAACAGCTTTTTACTCCTACAGGCTAATAGTCTTTTCTCCCGGCGTCTTATAGAGTGTTACAATCCATCATCGCCCACGCCCCGCCTATCTCTCCACATCCTATGCCCTTAATAATTGATCCATCGGCCCACACCACCTTTTTACCAATGATAGTGACGCCCCAGGCCTGATCTATGTCCTGTCATAGGCCCAAATCAGTGATCTGTCGCCTTCAATGCATCCACGCTGATATCGCCTTTCGCAATACCACCAATACGGCCTTGAGTCTTGACATCTCCCCTTCTCTTCAACTCAGGTGAAGTTGACTTCTCTTCCCTCTCTCAGTCCTAAATACGAATTGACTTCAGATGTCCGCTCGCTCCCGGCTCTCGCAGTCCCTCCCTTCCCCAGTCAGGTGGAGTGAGTCTAACCTCGCACCCCTCCCAAGCCTTATGCCACTTGGCTTGCCCGTTGCACACCTGCCCCAGCCCTGTGACATGACCTCTCTCTCCTTACGCCTCAGCCCAGTAACTTGACTTCCCCTCCCTACAGCCGGATGACCTGACCTCCCTCATCCCCTTTCCCAGTGACCTGACCTCCCTCCCTCCCCCACAGCCGGGCGAGCTCCGTGAGGCGTTCCTTGCGCTCCGTTCCGAGCTGGCCGGCCTGCTGCCGGCGGTCTGCACTGCCGGCTCGTGTGACGACTGCGGCCGGCCGGCGCAGCTGCCCATCCAGCAGCAGATGCAGTCGGTCAGCCAGCAGCACGAGCAGCTGCAGCAGGAGCACCAGCAGCAGACGGAGACGCTGCAGCAGCTGCAGAGCGAACTCGATCGGCACGACAAACAGGTGAGGGCCGGTGGGCGGGGTGGAGGGGGAGGGGCGACCGGGGCTGGGGCAGGGCGAGTCTATGTTATACGACTAGAGGACGAAATATTTCATTAGTGCTACATCGTCTACTTTCATCTAGCTATATAGTGTATATGATTCTCAAGGTAGCTGAATGTCAATGAGATTAATGTGCTGGTTATGTGTCAATATAGTGTGATTGATTTTCTTGGCTTCGGTTATGGCGTATGAAAAAATATCTTGTCTTTTGCAGCTTGCCATAAGAGAGAAGCAATGCGTAGCTTTACATGAAGAAAAGGAAGCACTGAGGTCGGAACTTGATGCGGCCTATGTAACCAAAGAGGACTTGGTCAGGAAGGTAAGCCGAAAACGATAACAAACAGCATTTACCGACCACCCCGGCGACAGAGTAGCTCTAAAAATTGCCTGTCCAGTCATAAACCATTTTTCATTCACCATGGCACGCCACTTACCGGCCAAAAATAAATAATTGGAGATTGTCACAACATTAAGCACGATAATAACTGCCGGTCCCTAAATGGCCGAGCTGTGCTTTCGTGCTGCATGCATGACAACAAACACCATACTTTGATCGTGACTGTTCGATGTAGAAAAGGTCCACAGCTCCTAATAAGGCTTCCCGTTAGGGTGACTTCATGACTCACACATGATTCCGCAATCCTGCCACCTTCGTAACCATATGCCATTCGAGGACGATGAGTAGGAACGGAAGCACCACTCCTGGCAACAGTCAGCGGAACTGCCAGCGACACTCCCCGGGTGCACCGCTTCCTCCTTACACGAATCAAAACACTTCCGCCGGCCAGTGTCCGGGAGGGTTTTACAGAGCATCCTGTGCCATCAACCTGTCACTCTCGTGTTGACGACCAGTGATGTCACACACAAATGACGTCATCTCTGTTCGTCAGGCGTGGGAGGCCCGGGACCAGGCGGTCCAAAGGAAGAACAACGCCGAGATGGAGCTGTCCAAGGCGAGGATAGACGTGCTGCAGACCAACTCGCAGCTTCTGGAGTCGATCCAGCACAAGGTGCAGCTCTCCTGCCAGCTCGACCAGTGGCAGGTACGGCAACTAGAGGTTCAGAGAGTCGCCGATGGGGGCAGTAGTGGTCATGGGCTGTCACCATGCTGTCACGAGCTAGTCTTGTGAAAAGACGTCGTTTAGTTATAACATTAGGCCTTGATTAGCCAAGCATAATTTGATCATGTACGATTTCACCTGGTTATTGTGGTTCGATGGTGTATTTGTGAGTTGACCGTTTCGTGCATTTCCTTTTCAGTGGGACATGCAAGAGCTTATCGACGCCGAGATTCACAAGAAGCTGGTCATCAACGAGAAGCCCAGAACCAACAGTACAACGGCGGCGAACAAGGGCCGGAGATCCATCATGAGCTTCTTCAGCCGATCGTAGCCACACCTACCATCCCGATCGCAACTTTGACTGCTGCGCTGGCCGCTAGGTGTCAGCGCCGTGGCCCAGACGACGTGGGGTCCGCGCGCAATCTGTGATATGTGTCTGATAGATGTTGACATTTATGAATTTTACGCTTGTACCGTGTCATTTTGTGACTGATTCATGTCTTGAATAAATGAAACTGTTACCTGAATCTGGTCTATTCTTGATAAGGTGGAGGCCGAACGAAACAACCTACACCTTCGGACCTTGATAAGACTGGTTACCACTCAACACCGCTGCCATTCGAGTAACCGTTCCGTGCTTCTATCCTCAGGATACAGAAATCCTTCTCCTCCACGCCGCAACCCCCTCCGGGCTGGACAGGCAACTTTATCTCATGCGGGCTGCTCCCTTGGAGCGGCACCGCTGCTCCTGAGGGAGCGCACCCCGTAGCCGGGTGCAGTGAGTGCCTTGGGGCTGGGTGGCCTGTCCTCTGGACGGGCTCAGCCCCGGCGACTCACTAGGGTGCCTGCCCAGACCAATGTCACCCCCTAATTCCTATCATCCTTCCGGCTCTGCAATGGTCTTGTCGACCGAAAGGGCCTAACCCAACAACAACAAAAAAAAAAAAATCGAGTATGCAGGCATTGAGTACTTTTGATGACCAATGCAGCTAGAATGTCCCTAACTATGTTTAGCCTCATGTAATTCATATCTCGGACATGATTCTAGACGAGACCTCTTGTTCTGTCATCAAACTCATAGTTCCAACGACATCCAAGTACCTACGCAGCCACCGAACGCAGTCGCCGTCTGGCCACCCAAACCACCAGACCTTGCATAATTTCAGCACACAGATCCTCACAGGGCCCAGGCCACCGGAACCTCACTCCCATCGGTCACTAACCCGGTACCCCGGCAGCTGACAGGCAAACCCAGCCAAACCGGGCCCATTTGGTCCGCGGTAGACGGCCTGACACGCGCGCACCTCATTAAAAGTCGCCTCAGCCGGTCCAGCAGTGGTTACGTGGACATTCTGAGCATGACAGTGCCACGGGTACCGGTGAAAAATGGCCGAATGTCGGTCTGTGATCACGAAAACACCAGTTTATGAGTTTGTGAAGTACCGGTGAACTGGAGACAGTGTGGAGCTTAGGTAAAAGGTACGGAGACATTGTGAAGGCATGCTGGAGGATTATGTGATCACTTCCTAATACGGACCCACAAACAAGTTCGGCATGACATGCCCGCGATCATAGGCAGTTGTTTTAGAAGATGAAAGTTCGCAAAAACAATAGCCTAAAACCGAGCGGTGTTTTCAAGGCCCAGGCCTGACATGATTCACGCAAATGAAAGTGATGTAAGCATGACAGGGACCATTAACATTTTCACAAAATGAATGCAATGCTGTTGACAGGAGCGAAACACTGCTTCATTCTTGCATAAACTATCAGGTTGCACACAAAGTTTCCATAAAATGGCGTGCACGTGTTCTTGGTACTTTGACATGGAATTACCGCGACACGAAAATATAACACCGGAATCAAGGCCCTAAAACATAGACCGGAATAGTAGTCAGATTTTGGACGAAAAAGACGTGTGCTGCAGTACAGCTCTGCATAATGAAAGGCTCTCCTTTTAGCACGCTATAGTAAACCCTGCTGTCCTAGGCTTTTCTTACTAAAAACAAGCCGAAAAGCCGCTATAGCAGTAGTCGTAGACATCCGATGGGGTTGGTATTCGCACATCCAAAGCTAATACAAACTACGTACTATATTTCACTCGATTTATTTCGTGGCAACTTCCTACAATCCAAAAGGTAATCAGCGTCATCTCATCACGACCCTAAAAGATCACAATTTGAATGCCCATAAGTAAAACAGAATCAGAGGATATTGGCTTCTCCAAAACTGAAGCAGAACATAAGCAGTGTCGCAATGAGTAGAATAAAATGCATGGCTTAGATGCATTAAAAACACAATGTTCAAAGGAGTTCGGATCATATTTTCAAACGGACGGGTACGCCACAAATCACCGCACCTAAATGTCGCTTCCACTCAAAGGTCGATTGCACGTCTCTTGCCCTGAATAATACCGGTAAAGTGTTCCAAATGATTAGTGCAAAGGAAGTAAACAGATGAAAGTAGGCGGAAGACATTGTAAATGAGCTGATGAGCTGTGCGCTGTACTTTGTGGGAAGCGACGTCACAGGTGACATTGGCCCATGCATGAATCAGTGCACAACTTTCGCCAGGCCACTTTTCAAACCACTTCCGGAAGGGAGCTGCGCACTTAGCGCTACCTGGTACTGATCAAGAGACGAAACAAGCCGCAAGGCACCTTATTAGACCTACGCCATATGATATTATGACATCAAACTTGTAATTGACGTCAAAGGTACGAGGAAAGGTTTCTGCAATTAGTCAGAGACGTCCAACTAAAACAAATAAGACTATCTAAGCACATCACGCATTGACTCATCCAACCTTGGACTGCCCGGCCTCACAGGGCAGTGATTCGGTACTGCGACCGCTTCAACAGCCGAGTACAACGCTAACCGACCGTGCCTTTCCCTCTATCAGCCATGTATGTGATCGGAAAACGACGATCAAGCGACACCTGCGAGGTCCACCGACCAAACAACAAGCTGGAAACGCTCGCCGCATGAGCCACGATCCACATCGTGTGGTTCTTTTTGAAACCATTAGCCGCCGCTGGACTGGCGGACAACTGTCGTGGGCATATGCTCACTGCCCGATCCAAGGCCATCGAGGCCCGTCACAAAGAAATGGAGCGCGCTGCACGCAATGCCAGACCGGTCGGCCGGGCGTTCCGGCGAACCGGCATGTCCGATACGGGCTAACAATGTGCCGTGGCCCGTCGGCTCGGCTAAGCCAGGGTTCGGGTGGTGCCACCGACGCCATGGTCTCAGGGGCACCAAAGCCCCACGAAGTGCCGGCCGCCGCTCGGTCTCGGCGGCACGCGAGATGTGAGGGCAGCCCCCCGGGACGGTCCGCCACATGGGATATCCGGGAGGCTCAGAAGAGGGAAGGAGAGGGGGAGGGGGAGAGAAAGTGACAGAGCGGGACTATTCGGGTGATCCCCGGGCGTGGTTGAAAGGGCGTGGATCGGAGCGGCCTCCGACCCAGAGAAGGACTAACCGAGGTTATTCCGTGTGCGAGCGAAGTCGGGTGAGAACTCCAGGTAAACTCCCGCGGCTGTATCACGCCGCCAGGAACGGACAGACGACCTCCAGAAACTCCTGTGGCTTCTCGGAGTGGACCCAGTGTCCGGCTCCGGGTATCCAGACGAACTCGGCGGCCGGAAACAACCGGCGGATGTTGTCCTTCTCGGCCGGACTGCAACGGACAAACGCAGAATGTCAGCAGTCAGTCAGGCGTGGGATTTGGGCTACCTGAGAATCACCTACACGGGGGATCAGTTACACAAAGAACACCAGCTAAAAGACGCACGTATAGGGGACAGATACCATCGATACATATGTAGATAGCCGATAAACGGAAAACCGAACAAAAATGAAATGCAAGTCTAAGCGTGGGAAAGTATCGGTACATTGCTTTGCAAGCTCACTGCGAATGCACAGCTGTGTAACAATGAACAAAGGCAACTGGCATCCACAAAGGCCGAGTTACCCGACACCAAAGCACGACAGTGGCGACCCTGAACAGCTACTTCTGAACGGTCCTGTCCTGGTTGACATGACCGCAGCAGCTTCGCACCACTCCCCAGTGAAACGTGTGTGTCTTGGCGTCTGTGTGTCCTCGAACGAGACACATGTTAACGGCCGAACCTTAAGACTTTGGAGACTGGTAATTCGGCTAACATGGTGCCGAAGGCTGAGGCTTTGATTGATTAGTTTCTTTCTTTGTGGTAATACAGTTGAATAATCTCAATTGGGAGTAGCGTTAAGTACTTAACAATATAATACAGAAAGCTTTTGTAGTGGGCAAGTAACAATCGCTGGGAAGAAATTGAATGAGACCTTCCAGGACTGAAAATGCGTCGAGTTAACTGTTCAGTGTTAACTTTACAGTGGTGTGATTGATGATTGTCATAGATCAAAGCCCTAACAAGGACAATCGACAGCGACAGTAAGCATAGGTTGAAATCAAGGACAACTTCTTACTTTCACCGGTAGGAAGCAAATAGCAAAAATACGATACGAACAAATACAGCAAAGTCGCTCCTTTATCAACGAAAGACAATCATGAACCACCCATGAGGAACAAACGATTTTAAAAAGGTACTCCGGAATCAAGGCTACGAACAGCTAACTGCATGATCCAGGATCATATAGCTTCAAATAATAACAGCAAGCACTTATGTATAATTACGTCAGTAGTAGAGGTATGTATTTGGCAAAACCCAAAGCACCTCACACTGAATGCTCAAAACAACGAAACTGTCGTTGAGGCAACGATAAACATGAAAAATAAATGCATAAACTTTAACAATAACGTGAACTCTAATTAAGGTGGCAACAGCAGAGTCCATGAGTCCCCCATTCACAAACATCAAAGAACATTCACTCCTCCCTTGTGAGGAAGGCATGTGTGTTATTAATAACACATTTTGCACGACATGCAACAATAAAGTCTGGTGGACCTCATCGTCTCTTCCAGCCCAGTCCCATTGCCCCAGTTCTCATTGTTTGATCATTGAGCTCTGAATCTCCACCGCCGGACCATCCGAGCACTTGCAGTCCTTCATTTTCTGCACGCTCCACCCGAACCGAATCTCATCGGTGAAGTGTTTGTGAAACTCTGGGAACTGGTCCTCGGAGCCAAAGTAGCGGATGAGCACAGTGCCCGGCCCGCGGAACGCCATGTAGATATAGCGGCCTTCCGACTGGAGCAGGTGGTGCATACAGAGTCGGAACCAGCCCTCCTCCAGGGCGCCGTTCACCTCCATGGAGAACAGGGAGCAGCGAGAGCCCAGAGCCACCAGCCGGCTGGCCGGCGGCTCCATCGAGGCGTACAGGTACACCGTCACCACAAATAGCGTGCACTGCCAGCACTTAGTGCCGTCCACGTCCTCAGTGACAAAGTGAGCCTCGTTGGTGGTGTGAAAGAACATGAGGATTTTCGGCGAGGGCACCAATCTGAACTTCAGGGAGTCCGGCGTAAGGTCCTTATTCACCTGTGCCGCCATGTCCAAGTGCCAGAGTCCCTCGGCCTTGGCGAGTTTAACGTACGCGTCGTCTGTGGCCTCGTAGGGTGTGACACACTCGCACTTTGGTGTGAGGAACTGTCGGCACGGGTCGGAGCACTGGTTGGTGCAGCCGTCCTTGCCTGCCAGCCGCTGGATCTCCCTCTGCAGAAGGCCCGTGGAGGCCGAGCGCCGCTCGGGGTTCTCGTACCCGGTCAGCGCCCAGTGCCCGGTGACGGCCGCCCACTTGTAGCGGATCGGGCTCAGCGGCCGCCACGTGGACCGGTTGAAGACGCCGCAGAACCACGGGTCCACGGCCATCACGTCGAACGGGTCGAAGGCGGTGCCGGCGCGCGTGCGCAGCACACCCATGGAGCGCGGCGCCGCGTGGTGTGGCATCAGGTACTGCTCGTTGGCGCGTCCGACCGTGGACGTCGGGTGCGGCAGACCCAGCACGTGACCCAGCAGGTGGACGATGATCGTCTCGGTGCAGCGGCCCGCGTGCACCGACAGCTGGCGCGGCAGCGTGGGGTGGTAGCCCAGCGTGGCGTAGCAGCCGCCGCCCTCCATCACCTCCAGGTGCGGCTTGTCCTTGGAGCCCTTCACAAAGTCCACGCTGGCCGCCTTCTGCCAGCGTCGGAAGGCGCCGATGAAGTAGGCCAGCTGCGTCGTATCCATCTTTGTCGGAATGGTGTAAGGTATAATCGACACCCCATCCTTCAGCGGCCACGGCCCTCGCACGTAGCCGTCATCGGGCAGGGCGTTCAGCAGATCCTCTCTGGCGTCATCCGCGTCGTACAACGTCAGAAACTGAAAGTACTTGTCGGTCTCACTGTCGGCGAGGATATCGCAGTCGATGAACTTGTCGGCCGTCTCGGGGTTCTGCCAGATATGCTGCATCAGTCGGTCCGAGTTGGAGGCGTTCTTGTCGCGAGCCCTCTGAGCCTTTTCCCAGATGCTGCCCGACCAGACATCGTCAGCGCTGAGCCCAGAGCAGCGGCGGATGGTGACAAGCCACAGCGCCACCGGCAGACCGAATGAGATGACAACAAAACAGGAGTGCATCACCGACAAAGGATGCAGCGACGAGACGATGGTGCACAAGTTCCCGCGGATTGGAGTGGGAGTTCAAGTTGTGACAAAAAACGATCGATGAAACAATATGCTTCTTTAGATGTCTAAAGAAGCATATTGTTTGTTCATCAGATGTCTTGATACTTCGAGGAGTTTGCTTGTGATAATATCCACCGATTTAATGTTCACGCGAGGTCCATAAGCCGTTTAATACTGCAGTGGATCTGTATTAACATAAGCTGCGCACGTAAATGAAGATATCAGGAACGATAAACCAATATCGTAAATCACCAAAACAGCACTCTTAGCATACTGATGATGTTCAATGAATTATGTATTACACAAGTTCATGTTGTCAGCGCAAGCTACCGAACCGAAATCATACCGACTTTTCAAGGTCCCACCCTGGCTCGCCATCAGCTAGGCGAAACTGACCGTCAGATGAGACATATAACTGACGAAACTGACCACTTATTTGAAACAGCAGGGCCATAAATTCTACATCAAAAGAAGCATGAAAGAAACATATAAGTAATAAAAATGAACACTTTTTCGATCTAACAACGTGAGCATTTGTAGAATTGTTCGTTGGCGGAAAGAAACTGACCAAAATGGCTAGTTGAAATTGTCGTGGGAGGGCATGATTAGGGGGGGGGGGGGGGGCTATTGAAAATCTGTTGGCGTCACCTGTGGCTATAGCGCAGAAAAATATGCTAGGACCACTGTTGATTGATTTGATTTTGTTGTAGCTACTAAATACAAACACCTGTAATCAACTCAGTGCGAGCTGCGAATAAAATAATAAAACAGGCTAGCAAACGGTCAGGTTATTTAGAAGCAGGTGCCTGACAATCACATCAAAGTGATAAGCCTAAAACGTCTTTTTTATAAGGGCTGCAGGTGGTCTTATCATTAAATGATTCAGAGTTAACAAAAAGACGCTTAATAACACAAAGACCCGACATTTGTACACGGTGTGAATAAAGGCCTTGGTACGTCCTCGCATATCCACTATTCATACATATATTTCTTTCTGTTCGGTGCGGTTAGCGGCGGGCCCAAGGCGAGGCCATTATTCGTCCGCATTTCCATGCACTTCATTACAACGACGCATGCAGACACATGTTTTCTCTGTGACTCACTAAGGAACCAAATGTATGTTAGACGGAATCGGATGTGTCGGGCTGAATCACGCAGTTGTATATCAGATCGTTTGCAGCAGCAGCCTGATAGTGGCGCCATACCTAGCTGATGACGTCAATCATTTACTTGTCGGCACGCAAACTGACCACGGAGTCTAGTATCTAACCCTTCACTGAAAGTCAAGAGGGGCGTTTCCTTCTATCACCCGGATGTGGTGCCAAAGCAGGACGCTTGAGGTCATCAGAGGCATGATTCTCGGCTTCTGATAGACATTTTCCACTTGAACAATTCAAAGAGGCAAAATCTGCTATTCAAGCAATCAAATGAAAGCCACAAGAAGTCCCGTCATCTTGAAAGATCCCAGAAAACCAATTACCTTCACCTGACCCTAGCCTGAATTTCAAACGCCGCAGTCACCAACCAACAAAAAAGACACCACTGCGTCATAATCACATTACACATACACGCCAGCACGTGAATAGAAATTCCCCTAAAAGAACTCGGGTCTTTTACGGCGAACATGCACGACTTAGGTTCCATGTCAGCGATGAAACCAGAATCAGCCAAAGCACTGTTATACAGGCGCTCGCTTGCCATTCTACACGCTCGTTTGCCATTCGCTGTCACCAGTGTGGGCCGGGCAGCCTCGGATTCCGTTCATAATAGTCGGCACCATCTGCAAACGCGAGCGGGCCTTTTCCTTTCAGAGAAACCGCTCGCTTTGCAACGTCACGTCACAATGGCTGTCCTTGCAGATGAACGGCGAACAGCATACTCGACTCCTGTGATGCAAATACATGCTTCATCTTCTGGCATTGTTTAGTAGTAGTGGTAATTGCTAGCAATATAATTTAGTCCAAACCTTTTGAATGGAAGGATTCACAAAGACGGAGCAAACACTAAGCGGAGCTTGTTGCGTTGGTCCTGCCCTGCCCTACCCTCTGCCCCCCGATCGCGCCAATTCTGGCCTATGGCAGAGTTTAGAGCCCGAAGTCTAACGTATTCCCATAGCCGCGTACGGCTGATTTCGCCTGTCTACGGCCTGCCACCAGCCGCAACCATACCCTTCAAGAGGCTCATAAACATCGAACACCCGTCGCGTTTGTGTGTGTGTGTGGGGGGGGGGGGGGGGAGGGAAGGCTCTTTCGGTACACGAGACCATTTCAGAGCCGGAAGGATGATATGAATAAAGGGGAGATATTGGTATGGGCGGGCACCCTGGTGACTCGTCAGGGCTGAGCCAACCACGAGGACAGGCCATCCAGCCCCATAACAGTCGCCGCACCCGGATACGGGCCTGCTCCCGGGGAGCTACCCGTATGGGATAAAGTTGCCCGTCTAGCCCGGAAAAGGGTCGACGCCGTGGAGTAGAAGGATTTGACTATCCTCAGGACGGAAACGACGGAACGGAGGTGTCGCGCTTCGAACCCGGACTTTTATGACCGAGACGCCTGCTCTCACCACGCGGAGTCCAACGATCTACCGACCGCGCTACGGGACCAGCAAATATTCTACATTCATTCGTTCATTTTTTTGCAGTTGCACAGCCGAGCTTGGATTCGTTGTAGTGGGCGAATGCGTCTTATTTGTTATATGACGTCCCACAAAGCCAATCAGTACGATTGAAGACATTATCAGCGTTGATGTAAGTACAAACTGTTTGTAATTTTACCGCCTATTTACCAAAACGACTTCTTACAAACCTCAAATTACCCGCGTGGTTCAGGTCCAAAAACAGGATACGACCGTGTCAAAAATTACTTCTTCATTAGCGCTGTCACGCTAGCTGAGCACGTCACCGGAACATCCATTCTCCGTCCGCTAGTTTGTGCACGAACATGCCTATACCGTCCGCGCATTGACGCTATAACGTGTCACGAGGTTGCCGACAGCGCATAAAACAATGGGCGGCGTAAACCTGTTCTATCTGAGGTGGTTGAAGCACGTGTGGCTTTATGTAACCTTTTACGCACGACACGAAGGCGGCAGCGAGAAAAGGAAGAGAAAACTTAGCACGTGTCGTGTAGTCTTTTTCAATGAGTATGGATTGGAACAATAGCAATACAAAACATAGCATGTTGGATTGTGGAAGCATTCAAAAGGTGGGCATAACAACTAAGTAAGGGAGGGTATCGATATCGGTTATACTCTGAATTGTGTATGTGCTTTTTATGCCGCTTTTGTTATAACGTGTGTGAAAAAATATCATGCTGCTGTTAACGCCTCCCAAAACATGCGTACAACCATAGAGATCTTATATACATAGAGATGACATGCACTTAAAATCGTGGCGATTCAGTGGGTCTTTTTAAGCAACTTATTTTCAGCCAGTAGCGTGCCAATATGGCTGAGGCATTGTTAGTCTGAAGAAATTATTACGTAGCGAGCGAAGCAAGCGTAGTCTTTCGTAGATTAACGGAAATTTCTGAGTATGAGCGGCCGGCCGGCCGTGGTTACGCTTTTGCGAGGCTTATATCTCAGCAACTACTTGACCGATTTACATTCGATGATTTTTCTAGGGTAGCTTCATTCCTTCTACCAAGTATTGGACTATTCTCGATGCATGTGGGTGACCGCTTATGCACGTGCCACGTGCAAAACGAAGAGGTGTCAGTTTTGCAATTGTTACAATATCTTGGTAACTACTTGGCCGATTGCGCTGAAAGTTGGTATGTAGGTAGGCACCCACTAGGCAATGCATATCCATGTGCCACAGTTGGGGTGCTGCTGCACGTGCGCACGTGCAGGGGTCGATTCCAGATCTCGAGAACGGCTGAACCGATTGTGCTGAAATTTGGTACATGGTTAGGGACCAGTTAGTAGGGTGCCGTGCAAAAGTCAGTTGTGACCCATTTTGCACGTGTGCACGTGCAGGGTGCCGCTTCCAGATCTCGAGAACGGGTAGGCCGATTGCGCTCAAATTTGGCACATCGCTAGGGACCGGTTAGTAGGGTGCAGTGCACAAGTTAGTTGGAGGTGTCCCTTGCAAATTCGCTTGTCCAAGACCCACCCTCTCGCTCGCTCCGTTGGTCGCCCCGGCCAAAAGGCGTTTTACTGGTTAAAAATATTGCTGATCTTTCCTGGCTGATTTCATTCCTGAGGTAAGCAATGAAATTTGTAGCATGATTTCATTTTCTGTTTTTATTGAATTCCTTAAAAGCTCGCCTAAAAGCATTCTCTCTCATTTAGGCTCTCATCAACCAGGCAGGCGGTGGACCTCCCGGCCACCTTCCGCGCGGTGGGGGGGGGGGGCATTTTTTTACCCCCCTCCCGTATCTCCGAAACTACTGGACGGATCCGTAACATTCAAACGATGTTCGATAGCCCTGTCAAATTTGTCGATGGAACCCCAATTTCATTGACCTCGGGGTCACCGATGACGTCACAGGTCAGGTCAAAGATAAAATGTTTCGCGTACGTTAAAAATAGGGCGTACGTTGCCTAGTATAGGGGAGAGTGGGGTAATTTGGCCGGTGGTGTAAATTGGCCGCCCCCACCTGTACGAAAGCTGATAAAAGTGAATGAAATAACTTTAGTCTCTATTCATTTGTCATCGGCAGAACAAACTCGAGAACAAATGTCAAAGCTTTCCTCCTCTTAGTTTTATTCAAAATTAATAAAACGTAAATTTCGTTAGAAAATGGCAACTTTTACTTCCGTTTAAAAATTTGTATAACATGTAGCATTTGGGCTGTAAACGAATTCCAACATTATAGCGCCATTCTTGAGGGTGTTCAGCGGTTCCAAGAGCAATTTCATCTAGTTCTGTACAGCTATGACGACTTTATAGACAAAAATTTTCAGAATGGCAATGTGGGGTTATTTGGCCGGGACTAGCGGGGCAACTTGGCCGGTGCGCTCAGAGTCACTATGCTGGGACGGCCGAGTTGTCATGGTCAATTATACCATAAAGGACATAATTCATGACCAACTTTGACTATCTTGATGCCATATTTCCTATTGGACAGCTGTAAGGGCATGTGACGTCATCAATGGATATTTAACGCTTTTTTGCTAATAAATACTTACAGAAAAAAGCTAACCGCGCAAATGGTCTCATTGTGTTCAGCTCGTCAAGGCGCATCGAATGGTATACATGATGACCTTGAACTCACGTAACCTTGAGGTCAAGCGACCTGAGGTAGCGCGACCTGAAGCCAACCTTTGACCTTGACCTCTCGAGGTCAAAACATACATGTTTCGATGCGGAATGACGAGAGAATTACGATGGTACTTTTAGTTTTGGCGTAGCTTGATTACTTCAAAAGCTATTCATAAAAAACTGTCATCGCATCTCGCATTTTCTACATACGCGCCGGCCGGGGGGGGGGGGGGGGGTTGGTTGGTACGATTTCCCTCGCCGTTTCGCCCCTGATGAAGCTAGAGCGTCGCGGAAAAAACAAGCGTGTGCGCCGTTACAAGACGCAGGTACTGGTACCCGATTTTAAGGTCCCTTGAGGTCAGGTCAAGTGACCAAGGGCCAGGGTTCAGTTTTTCATAACTTCGCAAAAAAAAAAACGGTCGGAGAGCCGCGATTTTGGCATCATCGTGTTCGCCTCGCTCAGGCGCGTCGAATGGTATACTTTTTGTTCGGGTGAGGTCAACTTGAGGTGTTGACCTCGGGTCAAGGGCAGGTCAGCTCCCCCAGATCACGAAGCTGGTTGACAGAGGTCATGTTACATTGTTACATATTACTCGCAGTTACAGTATATAACTGCAATGAAAACCGTAAGCCTCATGCTAATAATTATATTAAAAATAGGGCCAAGAAAATAAGACATGCTGGGCAAACTGACAAACTGCCTTTTGTCAAACCGTCTTACGGTTTTCATTGCAGTTATATGTATATGTAATCATGAGCCTCAAAACCACGCTTTCTTTAATCAATGACCCAAGTGACCATAAATGACGCCACGCAATGTCAACAATGCAAAAGTGAAGCATCGGACCTTGCAAGGCGTGAAAGAAATCACGATTCCATGTGCTGGAGACAGTTTGAGATGGTTCTCGGCGCTAACATAGCAGTTTTCATTTTTCCCCATTGACTTATACCTAATGGTGAGGTCACGTGGCCGACCTGACCTCATGTGATTTTTAGGGAAAATCCGAGATATATGTACAAGTTGTGAGACCTCTGGATGATACTACATCCCGTAAGTTTCATCTCCCTGTGAAAGTTCCTCTGGCACTGACGGCGTTGCGAAGTTGCGACATCTGAGGACTGTGCAGAGGTCCACATATGACGTCACAGGTCAGTGACCTGACCTGACCTGAAAATGCGGTTGGTGTCACAAGATGCGACTTGGATCAAAGGTCAGCTATGCCAAGTTTCAGCTCTCTATCGCCTGCGTGTTCGGAGCTATCGTGAAAAAACCCTATAGGGAGGCGGCACCCGCCCCCCCCCCCCCCGTCGGACGGCGAGGGTTAATGATACATGCAGTACCTGATACGAGCATAAGGTTAAAACATGCCTAATATCATTTCAATAATAACGCTCGAAAGCGTCACAGCTAGACAAAATAGAAAAACTGTACTTAAAAATAAACGGATGTGAACACAATCTCCTTGACCGAATCCTTACAAAATGCAAGTCACGGGCCATGGCACCCCAGAAAACCTTGCTTAAAAAGACCCACTGAATCGCCACGAAATCAAGTGCTTTAACATAGGCGTGTCATCTCTATGTATATAAGATCTCTATGCGTACAACCCCTACAACCACCCACTCGATAACGGTCAAGTCCTGCCCACCAACAAACCCCATTAATTCACTCACTCGATGTAGGCGGAACCCTGGCCGGTGTCCACCAGCAAACCTCCGGTACCCTCTCGATGACTACTCAGAACTCACTCAATGTAGGCCGAGTCCTGCCCGCCGACAGGCCCTCATTACTACTCACTCGATGTAAGCCGAGTTCCCTCCGCCGACAGGCCCCCATTACTACTCACTCGATGTAGGCCGAGTTCTCTCCGCCGACAAACAGGGTCGGCCCGGGATAGGTGGCGCCCGGCGGGACGCTGAAGGCCGCCAGGGTCGGCAGGGCCCGCTGCAGCACCGGCAGGTTGACGCGCCAGCGGGCGGCGCCCCCGTCTCCATCCACCACCAGGTTGGTCAGCAGGAACTGTCGCAGGTACCGGTCCTGGAAACGCCCAGAGCCGCCCAGTGTCAGCGCCGACTTTTCCTCGGAGGCGCCCAGCTGGTGTGAACACGAGTGGTGGAAATCGTGCTGGAAATACCCAACAGTTTTGCACAGAGTATATAGACCCGCCGTTTTGCATAGTCAGAACCTAATTCTTTTAGGGCCTTAGCCAAAACCTGTGATTGGGTTTTTACAAGGACGAAAACAGGGCCAGTAACACACTGGAAAAGCGGAAGCTCTGAATAAAAGTGACAAAGTCAGACTTCTCGCTATTCCCAATGAAAGAACGCTAAAATGCGTGCAAAGGGGAAACACAGTGTTCACTGCTGGTCGGCTCTTCCATTGTTTTGATGCCAGTAGCGGATCATGGGAAAGCGACAAGGCAATTGGGTCGACCACTTCCCTCAACCATGAAACTATATGAAACGATATATTATCGTTTACCTAAATCTCCCACCGTGGTTGCACTGTCATTTAGGCCAGTAGGGAGTGGCCTGAATGTCATACTGCTGACGAATGCCGTTTGTCCGTGTTCAGAGCGACAGTGGTATTTGCGAGGAAGGAAAACACGCTTAGTCTGGCTCAGTGAGTACTATGAACGCACTCTGCACAGACAGACGCAGCCGGTCAACCGGAGCGCCGCGTACCGCGGGCGCTGCACTGGTGCATGGCAGTACCACCAGACTCGTGGGAAGGAAAAGGCACGGCGTCACTGCGCCGAGTGGTATTATCACCCAAACGGAGGAATTTCAACACGACGGCGGCATGTAAACTATGCAGTGCTCTAGTTTTCATTATCCTCAGTAGTTTTTCCCGTCCATCAATAACAATCAGGAGCGGTTATCTGTCTTTGTGAGAGTAAAGCAATCATAACCTGCGAATGAATCACAATCATGGGTGAGTAGGAATAATTCAATCCCGATTAGCGATTTTCTGTGTAAAGGGTAAGTGATCAGATGTAAATACATCTCTACAGAACGAAACAAAACTAAGACATTACGTAAATAACACTTATCAAGTCATCACGAAATGACTTTCGCCCCCTGAAGAGGTCCCACCCTATATAGTCACGCCGTCGGCGACGGCAATTATCGTGTAGCTTGAGGCTTGTGAAGCAGTTAATCTTTCATGTGTCATCCGAAGGTGTGCCATTTGAAAGTTCCAATGCCGAATAGGCCTCATGGATCACACATATTAAGCGATAGCCTCAAAGCCTGATCTTTGCTATCTTTAAAAAACCACAAAAAGTGTTAAGTCGCCTTTCACCTTCAATCATTATTATTGGGAAAAACAATAACAGGAATGCATTATACTTAAGCTAGACCCCCGTTATCTTTAATTTAATCAGCTTACAACGGCTTGAGCTTATATTATATGAGCCCGGATCGCAGAACACAATCTGGCACATCTGTCCCCCAGCTGGGTATAGTGGCAAAAGACCAGTAAAAATGGAAACCGCGACGGTAAAAAAGTAAGCCCAAGCCAGTCTTCCAGTGCATCGCTTAGTAGTACATAACGCTCTTTTTGCGGCGTGCCGAGGTTGCGAAATATCCTTTTTGTAGGTAAAACCACTGAGCGCAGAACAGGCCACCACATTCCTTCTAGCGCGTGACACCATTACAGTAATAATTGTTCACAATTTTCCCGGTCATCCAAAATCCATGGTCAGCACGCATCCCTGAGGTCATTGCCTCAATGGCAGATGTCCCTTCCTCAACAGACAAGGCACATTGCAAGAGGACACCATTCTTCCTACATACCTGAAATTTTGACAGCGCAAAACAATGCTCCCAGTGACATCCGCTATTCTACGGTGGTATGCAGGCTAACAGCATATGCGCCTTGCACAGCAATGCTGATGATCCTTTGTCATATGGAGGAAATGTTTAAATGTTTTATCATTGATTCAATAGTTAAAACCAGACAATTTGCTATTTTTCCTGTTCAGCTAGTATACACACGTCCATTGCCAAGGCTGAGGACAGTAAGTACTTTCTCTGAAATCTTCTCACTTTTTGCAAATTTAGACGGAGACACCTGATACTCAGCTCTAAATACCCTAATAATACATTCAAAAAGCTGCTTCACCTAAAGATAGCGGCTGTGGCAGCCGCACCTCCATGTCTTTGTCTGTGATTATTCAATATCGGACCGCTATGGGCACCTGGGCACTGGGGCATAGTGTAGGTACTGTGTAACAACTGCACATAGCCATTAGCCACGATATGTCCGCTTTTCACAGCCCACAGGCGACCCAGCAGAGGACAAGAACAATCCATGGTCTGGATGTAGGTACAGGGCCGCCCTAAACAGTTCGCGCGAGTCGAACGCACTGTCCTCGGAATTCCGAACAAAATCTTCTATATATGTAGGTAATGGAGAACAGCCTGTCAAAGTGATCATCCTAGACAGTGCTTGTCTTACGAAACTGTTGAATGCGACTGTCATTAATTGAATAACATTGCGAATAGGCAAATAATGACGACGTCTAGGACAGGCTAGTTTTATACGAAAAATGTCAGCTTGTTACAGGTTTCTTTAAACAAGAAATAATTATTGAATTTCACCCGCCGAGCGATGGCAGAGGGCAGTCACAACAGGCGGACGATAAATCCCGTGGCTGAAGCTAGTGTAATTGCAGCATTGAATTGGACTGACTACAGTCTACAACAACGGCTGGCATCGAAGTGCAAAAACTGATTCAGCAGATGCCGTTTTAATTTTCTATGTATGAAAAAAACGGCGAACATTCGCAAATACGGGAACAAGGAACATCAAGAATCCATTGTCCCATTGACCTATAGTTTACACTTTACAATGTGCAGGGATCCATCTTTTTATCACAATGAAAGCATGGTGTCACAAACGTAAACCAATGAAACCAACACTGCTGTGAGCTCCCCAAGACATAACCTCGCTCATCCCCGCGCTCGTTAACCACTGACCGGTATGGCGTCTGCGATCTGGGCGTCGGCTTCCTTCCTGACGGCCCACTGCGGCCGGCCGGGCGTCACCTGCACCCTGGAGAGCGCCTCCAGAATGCCAGGGATGTCGGACGAGGCCCGCGGCCGGGTGCCCGGGGCGATGTCCACCACCACCAGACTGGAGACCAGCGAGGGCTGCCGGGGAAGAGCGGTCAGTGGTCGGTTAATGTAGGGTGGGATTGTTAGTTACAGCAACCGACTTATCAAATGCTTGTAAAACTTCAAAACACTGAAAAAACTAAATACCAAGCAACAATCTAAAATATCAACAGAACTGACCATTGTAGCCAATGCAGTAATGCCTGAAAAAAAACTTATCTACTTACAGGAAAACACAGCATTAAAGCCACTCAGAACTTCAGCTAAAAGCACATTAACTTAGGCAGACTCACATTGTTCAGTGCAATGGTCATCATAGTCTTCCCTCCCATGCTGTGGCCCATCAGAGTGACCTTGTTGTGCTTTAGGTCAGTGATGAGCTTTGTGACATCCTGGGCCATGACAGCATAATCCATTTGCTCAGAGTGAGGACTGTCCCCATGGTTCCGGGCATCAGTGTTGATGATCTGTGAAAAGTGAATACTTATGACAAGTTTTAAGCAGGGATGCGGAGCCGGAGCCGGAGCCGGAGCCGGAGCCGCCGGAGCCGGCATATTTTGCCCGGAGCCGGAGCCGGAGCCGGAGCCGTGAAACAATATAGCCCGGAGCCGGAGCCGGAGCCGGAGCCGTCAAAAAAGGGGGCGACTCCGGCTCCTTTTCTTAAGAGGAAACAATTATTTACCTAGTTCGGTTTGACAGTACAATGCGTAAAACAATGTGGTATTCAAAATAGCCTTGTTATACAAATACAGAAGCAACGTGTACCAATCCCATCGCCTTTTTTCTTCCACCCGTATTTAATTGATCGCATAGGGGATGTACTGAGTAGAAGCCGGAGCCGGAGCCGCCGGAGCCGGAGCCGCCGGAGCCGAATCATTTTACTCGGAGCCGGAGCCGGAGCCGGAGCCGCCATGACATTTCACCCGGAGCCGGAGCCGGAGCCGGAGCCGATTTTTTCTCCGGAGCCGGAGCTGGAGCCGGAGCCGTCCGAAATTTCCACGGCTCCGCATCCCTGGTTTTAAGCCATCATAAGTTAGTCACAGTGGTGAGAGTAATGGGAGAAAACTTTGGAAATGACATAAAAGGCCAGCAAAATTATAGCAACAATGGAGGTTGATGCCTAGCCTTTCACTTTACTGCAGAGACATTAGGTGCTATGCTGTGATGATTGCAGACTTTGATAGATACCAACTTACTTTTCTTTGTGTCTTCAAGTGAATGGACTTGGACAAGAAATTCCAGTTTGACTTCGATCCAAGCAATCCATGCATAATATAAATGGGTACATCTTGATCAAGTTGGGATCCTGAGTCATAGCTTTGGAATGACAGGTCCACAGCATCTGAGCTGAAACAAAGACATTTGATTTTCAAAAAGATATTGAAATTTGAACTGTATGTGCAATGTTTAAATTACTAAAAATCCATTGAGGATCAAGAGGAGCAGCAAAGGCATACAAAAAATAAAGATTATGGACCTGTTCCAGCACACCCAGAAAGCACCAGAAAGCTCTAGAAAGCTCCAGGATTCCCTAGTCAGCATTTCTGCATCACCAGAAAGTACCAGCAAGTTCTGGACAAATCACCAGGAAACACCAGCAACCTTCTAGTCAGTTGTTTTCACATTTGACTGGAGGCTCTGGTCTACAATTATGTTGTGCATGTAAGACTAACAAATGTAAACCAGGGACTTTTGACAATTAATCATATTGGTAATGCTAACTTTAAAAAACAAATCATATTTAATAATTTTTTTCCATCAATTTATCAATATTCTTTAACCCGCGCCCTGGTGGGGTCTGTTTATAACGCGACCTGGTGGGGGGGGGGGGGCTATTTTTTGCCCCCCCTCGTATCTCCGAAACTACTGGACGGATCCGCAAAATTCAAACGGCGTTCGAAAGGCCTGTCAAATTTGTTGAGGAAAACCAAATTTCATTGACCTCGGGGTCACCGATGACGTCACAGGTCAGGTCAAAGATGAAATGTTTCACCGTTCACGGGTCTTCTAGGGAATGCGCTATAACACCGAGGAAAACGCATTTTGTCGAGAATCAGCGATAGGGCGTCAGTTGCCTAGTAGATAATTTACTATTAGAGGTCACTGACAATACCAGGTCAGGTCACAGGTCAGGTCACCAAGGGTCACAGGTCAGGTCACATGAGCCCAACTTTACTAAGGTTGTGTGATGCATGTTTTATGGCCAATTTTTCATTTCCAACTCAATGGTATTGGTTATAAGACTATCAGGTACGGCTTAGGTCACTTTCTGGTGAAGTTCAGGTCAAGGTCAGGTCAAGGTCAGGCCAAAAAAGGTCAAATTTTAAAGTTGATAGTTTTGCATAAAATGGGTATTGATTCGATGCAGCTCGTCACGGGGAGTCTAATGGTGGTCTTTGTTTTGCGCTACGGGGTCTAGAATTGCTAAAAATTGAGTTTGAAAATTTGACGTCATCAATTTTGAACAGTTTTTTCGCTATAACTTCGCCAAAAAAAGAGGTATCGATCTCAAATTTGGTATGTGGATGGAAGGCGGTAAGGACTATCACATATATATCGCTTTTTGCGAAATTCAAAAAACTTTTTGGATTTTTCGATTATTATATGCAAAAAATTTATTTTTTGATTTTTGGGGGTCAAAATCCAAAAATTTCAAAAATCCGAGATAGCAGTTTTGTAGCCCTGTTGATTCTACAGATTTTATGTCTTTATCATTTTTCTGTATTTGCAAAGCTATAGGCCTGACAGCTCTTCCCGCGAAACCCTTTTTTGGGTCGAAAACGGCAGAACATGACGTCACTCTGACGTCATTTCCGGCCAACCTATTATAGCCTTTGGAAAAATTTTTGGTCACAATGTGTAAAATTGATGTCCGGGAGGGTACTGAAAGTTTGGTGACGATCGGCGCAGCGGTTCTGGAGATATATCAAAAAGTCTGGAGGGGGGGCAAAAAAAAGCCCCCCCCCCCACCAGGGCGCGGGTTAATTTATCAATATTCTTTAAAAGTGAACTATCAATATTCTTTTTTGTGTCCTGATATAAATCGCCAGAAATCTCCAGATTCCATTCCTGTGCCTCCAGTAAAATCTACTAGAAGAGCCACCAGCAAATAATTTTGAGAGGCCGTGCTAGAACAGGCCCTATAAGTAGCACTCATTAAAATGGTATTCATACATTAAGGTAAACATAAAAATGCTTCACTTTCCATTAAACAGTACACTCAGGGGCAGATTAATTTTCCACCACTCCCTACCCATCAGGCTCCCATGGCTCAGCACTGACTGCTGCCACCGGCAGCACTGGCAGACAGTGCTGAGGGCAAGCAACACTGGCAGGGCAGCAGCCAGTGCTGAGCCATGGGAATAGGGAACCCGATGGGTAGGGAGTGGTGGAACATCAATCTGCCCCCAAGTGTACCTATCACCCATAAAATAAGAATAACAGCTTGATTCTCATGCTACCTGAAAATAAAAAGGCAGAACAATAAACTTGTAGAATATTTCAGTGTTGTACCATTCATACAGGGAGATAATGATGGTATAATGCCAAAAGCTTCTTGCTAGAAAGGTTGTTTTCTTATGTGAAAAATATCAATATAGCATGCAACCATTCTTACCATTGACTAGAATATGTATGTGATGTACGCATTGACACTTGTTTTGAAATCTTGCCACATAAAGGTAACAAGTTTCTGGTAACATTTAACATGCTACAGCAATGTGATAAAGTCATAGTTAAATTGAAATTGAAATACAGTACACGGCCAATTTTAAAATAACTAATAGAAGAGAAATGTAAAGTTCATAGGCCACACAACTCAACTTATAAAATATATACTGAGCATGTAATACAACACACGTCAAATAATGCTTCAATAACAAAGAATTATCCTTTGTACACCTCAAAATTAAAATAAATGCTCTGGACTCAACGCATCTTCACACACGGGCTCTCTCTATCGTCTGGAGGTTTCGAAAGATGCTCTCCAGAGATGGCGCTAGTAAATTTGGCTGACATGACGTCATGCTAAAAAGTGATGGTTTTTGTGAGAGCAAATGTAATAATAGTTGAAAATTTTGTACTTTTGCTTAATTAAGAAAAAATAAATATACAATTGTTCAAAACAGCGTTTTCTTCATTCATCCTTCATTGTTTTAAGAGGAATATAGACAGTTTAAATATTTTTTCTTGACCGCAATTCGCACACGCACTAAATTAAAAGCTGGAGTTTTGTGCGTTCGTAAATCGTGATTTGAGAAAATAAGTTGACAATAATCTTTTGCACTTTTGCTTTACAATCATTTTTCAATGCAGATAAATGCATAAATTATTCGAAAATAGGCATATCTTTGAAATATTATGATTTTCCACAAGCAAATTTTCCCAAAAACTTGAACTACTTACAACTGACGAACGCATCCAATAATCTGGATGTCTTAGGATGAGTTCGTCATTTTTTCCGAAGGAAATACGATACAGTTCAAGCTATTTTACCGATTTATTAGGGTACTTTTGCCAATGAATTAATAAATAAATGACAACAATTAATCTCATTATCAACCATACTCGGAAGAACTTTCTTCGCATAAGCGCGAACACATCCGCGCTTTCATGAAAAGTCACGCCTGTAGATGTCAGGACTGCTGCTTTATGTTTCGCAAGGTGGCGCAGCGCGCAGGGTACCGACTACCGAGGCTGAGGTCTCCAGACTCTCCACCACGATTTAACTTGGAAATGGCCGATGGGGAAGGTCTCACCCAAAAACGGACGCCCTTTTACACAGCTGCATAAAGAGAATGAATTATTAGCATAGCTGACCACACGTCCCCTCCCCCTCTCCGCCCCAGCTCAATAGGAAATATCGCCTATTTTCCTTAGTCAGTTATATTCTGACTAATTTCTCACTCTTCCCAGTAAACCTTAACATGCATGATGCAGATGTCCACTGCGTAAGTCGTGTGCTTTCGTAAGTGTGCCAACTATATAGTGTTGCCTGCCTACACTCTACAGTACAGCCTACTGCTTCCCCATTGTCGTTATAATTGGTGATTCTCAGGTCAAAAGTTACACAGTGGTCTCAGAGAACAATCGTTTCAACAAATTAACGATTCAAACCGTTGCATTCTACTTATATTCCGGTCAGTTCTGCTACTAAACGATTCCGGCAAAACACTCTTTAGGTTATGTATTAGCGAACCACCACACAAAATTCGCCCAATCAATGGTCAGTTATTACTGCTGGGCTGAACCGTCATACGCTATATAGCCTATTATATAGCCTAGTCAATATTTTCAGAACGATACTGACTGACGAAACACAACGTATTCGCGGATTCGCACATACGTTGGCACCCAGGTGGCCTGTCAGCAGCCGCACAAATCCGCACAGCGCAGCCGGGATTTGACATTGAGATGGTACACCGTAAAGCATGCCTTTCCACACAGGCACAAGCACAGGGACACAAATTCTCAAAATCCAAACTTATTCCAATACTGGTCAATTACGAATAGGCATAAAGTTTTGAGGTTTTCTCATGTTCATTCTTCTTTCAACACACGCGGCAGACTGCAGCAGCTGCAGAACATCTCACAGAGCTGCGCTGGATGCAGTCATGAGCTGGGACACGGTTTGTGACCAATGACCGATCGGGGGTGCCAGCCTCCTCCCGGCACGCGATGCACTGGCCGCCGCGCAGTCGATGTCGGGGCACCGCCGGCATTCGCCGACAGGGTTCCATCCGATTCGGTGTATTGGTGGCAGCCCGAACAGTGACCCACGCGAAGCTGGCGGACGTCGATGGCCGATGAGCGATGCCCTTCCGCGACCGGCGGTGGCAGTCGGTCCCACATCAAGAACAGATACCAGTCATGCGGTCAGTCGGCGACGGCGCTGTCGCGAGCCGATCTGATGGTCGCGCGGTGGGCGTTGCCGACGTCCACCGGGACCGTCGACTGGGGGAGCGCGGCCGCCTCTTGGCCGCCGCCTCTGGTCGGCGAGCTCGTTGCGCTGTGGGACGGCATCCACTGCAAGTCGTTCACTGTGAAGCGGTCGTTTGACCGGACCTGGCAGGCGGGGAAAGGGGGCCTCAGATGAAGTAAAACCATCCCTCAGGCCAGCTTGAACTGGCTCTCCACCTCACCATGTTAGATAAGCGGACACCCTCGTGATCATCGCAGCGATGATTGCCAATTGGTGTGTCATTATGGGAGAGGATGCCAGCCTCCTTTGCAAGATAGTCTGCCTTTAACATAGTGCAGCCCGACCCATTGCCTGTGGCGCAGACTGGGCTTGATAATGCAGTGCAGGACACACCAAACGTAAGCGGCCATCTGTACCCCCTGTGCAGTAGGGCTGACTCAAGAGCCCAGAGTTGCCCTCCCCCCCACCATTCTGTGCACGTGATAACTGGATGGGACATGCCATGGTCAGCATCTGTTCAAAAGCTGCCCTAAGCATGTAAAGCTCCACTGGCATGCTCAAGCATGGTCACAGTCAGTTCTCACTTCTCAGTTGAACCTCCAATGGAAACCCATCACAAAGTAGAGATCAGGGCGCCTCTCACACTGCAGCACACTCAACGACTGAGGCACCATCTCATCACTTGCAGGTGGTTCTTGCCAGGAGCAATGCCAGCCACGCACATCAGGTGATAACAGCAGTGTACAACTGCAATCTACAAGCATCCATGTTCTTTCTGGTTTTCTCCTGTTGAGATCCACTGCCATGCATGAACTTGATGGGCTTTTGTTGCGCTCCTCCCATGTGCAGACAGGTTTCTGCTGAAACAAAGCAAAGCAAATGTGATTAATAATGGCCCTGTTTCACCATCCAGACACTGTGTGCACTGGTAGCTACGGCATACCATAGCATCACTCAAATGACGTTGCATGTGACCTCTTAGTTTATGATCAATCGCGTTTGGAACAGAGTGAGAGGTTCTGAAAAACCGTACCAAGAACAGAGGTTTGAGTTCAAATACTGCTAGCATGCTGCTGGTGCTGGTACCGCAGCGTGCTAGCGTTCTGGGATGCTGTCATAGCTTAGCGTCACAGTGAAGTTTGTTGACACTGCCATGGAAACCCAATGCTCTGACACACGCAGCGCACTGCAGTGCTGAGCACTGCAGTGCGTGCTCTGCCGTGAAACACCACCCATGAACGTTGGTTGCATGACCAGGATGGAGCAGTGTGGCAGACAGTGATTTCAATTTTAATTGCACTTCCTAGAGATTAAAATGTTGTTGGTGAAATTGCTATTCATTATTCCTATTACCATTGTCTAAATTTCACATTTTGATTTCAAGACAGCATCAGCATTGACATGTTATATAAAATAAGGTTTAGACTTCAGGTGGTCCCGGGTTCAGCTATTAAGTAAAACAAGGGCAAAAAATTGTCAAAAAAATATTTTTAAAAAATACCTGCCTTCATCAACACCTCATCTAATCTAACCTCATCCTCATCTAACAAGGCCCTAATAGCAAAAACCGTTTGAATAACAATGTAATATTTTGCAACCGCTGCACCATTACTGTCACGTACGCTATCCCTAGATTGGTTGCTGGTAAGTAGTGGTTGTCGTCATCAACTCGTCATGCAGCAGCTGATTGGGATGGGCGGGGCCTATTTTTATCCAGGCGATAGAGAGAGCCCACACACGGACCTCCTGTGCGTGCCAAGGCCGTATAAGTTGCGTGCGTGCGATGCGATGTGACTCAAAACAAGGTGCGTGCGATGTGACTCAAAACAAAACGATTAATCGTAGGAATGGTGTGTCTGGTCAATAAGGCTGTTTTCTCGATGGGTTTCCATTGAATTTTATTCGTTACTGTCACACGTGCTGTAGAAGAAGAACGCTGTTTTTACAGACATGGCGCAGTTGCGCCATAACCAATTTCAGGGGGCATGTTTATTAATCCTAGGCAGAAATGACAAACAAAGCGTCCAATTGAGATCTTGGCTAGTATTTTATTGTTGTTTCATGGATGAAAGACCTTCATCCATGGTTGTTTGCTTGATCAGCTACCTACTATCTATCATTGATAAAATTCCAGGGATTTTGTTCAACCAATTGACTCGCCAATAGACAACATCCTAGGCCTATCATAAGCATTCAATGACTGTTCGAACTCAACTTGTCCAAGTTTTTTTTTCCAATTCATATTCAGTGAAGCGCATGGAAGAAGGTGGCACTGGGCATTGGATGAGGTGAGGCTTGAGGCCCCAACCCGAAGTCAGTCATTTCGAATTGCTTGATTTTCAAATTATTTATCCTCCAAATTGGAATAAATTCTTGTGAAAAGTTATGGGCATGGCAAGAAAGCTTGACCTTAGTTTAACCCGGCCGGGCCCGGGGGGTAATCCCAACCACCGCAGTCCGGGGGGCGTTTTTCGCCCCCCCCCCCTGTCTAACTCCGTAAATAAGGGAGCTACGGAAACAAAAGTGATACCAAACGAAAGGTCCTTACGAGACGATTCTAAAGCACCTAAAATTTTTGACCTCAGGTCAATTTTCAAGGTCAGAGGTCAAGGTCAAAGGCAAAAACCGGCACATGTGTAGTGATCTCAAAGTAAGCCTTCTAGAGGACGGCAGGCGGCATCAAACCGGCAAAATTGAGTGTCAAACGAAGGTCAAGGTCAAGGTCACGCTCAAAATTGACCTCAAACTTGGCACTTTTTCGCACATCTTGCGTGCTAACTTTCAAGGTGTTTTGAAATGTTTTGAGGCTTATCAGTTCCCTATTTGTGGTTCCTCTTACGATACAAGGCTGCTCAAAGGTCAAGGTCACTGAAGAGTATCCCTGCTAGAGGCTATTTCACTAATTCAAGTTATTAATAATAAATAAGACAATTTTGCCATCCGGAAGCTCTAAATGAAGGCTTAGAGGAAAATAGATGCCAGATTCGTGATCAGCGGGTCCAAATCCATCATAAACGACCTTTCATGTGTCAAGGTCAACCAGAGGTCAT